CGATATTTTCTTACACCCCTAACAATAACAAGTAATTATTTTTTCCAATTTCCAATGAAGAGTATTATCGTAAGTTTTTTTAATGTAAGTTTCTTTTCACGTTTTACACTTCAATGCAAAATGTCTTTTTTGATGTCAGTGTAAGCAGTCACTGTTTTAGCTCCWTATTGATATTTTGTTACAAAACCCAACACAACAGACTGACTTGTCTTTACACCAAAAATCAAACAGTGAATCCACTCGTGATGGGGTTTTTTTCTGTAAAATTTAAAAAATAAAAGTTGGAAGTGGCCGTTCTCTCACCATGTCTGCGCTGGGCTGGTACTTGTGCAGCCAGGTGGTTTTGTACTGGGCCAGCTTCTGACCCCGGTAACGCACAGACGCCCAGCCGCAGCCGGACTTCTTCGCCGGGTTGACCAGACGCTTGCAGTGCGTTGCCCAGGCGCTGGGAGAGTTAAAGATCTGCCCCGTCTCCACCCATCGGATYTTCCCATCGTTCAACAGGTCACCCACAAAGTTCTTGCCCTGAGGGAAGCAGGAAGGAGAGAGAATCCACTGACCTGTTCCGTGGCACAGAACCAGAGTCATAACACTTTCATRGTCATGTGTAAATACCAGGTAGTGGATGGCCAGCACGCCGTCCCCCGGCTCCACCAGGCCATCTTTCAGCAGAACTCTCAGGGTGATGCCTCTCCGGGTCAACAAGGAGCCTCGGCCTGAACTAGTGCGAAAGTCTGCCTCCTCGCCTCCGCTCAGCTCCTCCTCATCCTCCTCACCTCCATCCTCCACCACCTGCGGGGAGCTAGGTGCTTCCAGYTCTGAAAGCAGACACATTGTGGGTCACAGGTCTGTTCAGGAGACCTATATTGTTCCTATGAAAACAAAYCAAACATTATTTTTCTATCTATAGTCTCGTTGGGGTAATAAAACAAAGTCATTATGTAAAACTGTTGTACTGAGAAGGACTTCCTCACTGTAATGGCAGCCTGCATCTCTCATATCTGCAGCACGCTACAATTATAGCAAAAAACATAAAAAATAAGCCTCAAGTGAATTATCAATTACCAGAATTAGATTAATTACAACTAAAGTGAGCTGCTCTTTGTCTTCACCTCCTGCCACTTGGAGAACGCCTCTGATCTAAGGAGAGGCCTGTATGCTTCTCCCCCACCTCTCCCTCAGTTAATTTCAGTCAGAATCACAATTAAAGCCCTCTTTCTTTCTTCTCACCCATATCAGTGTGAAAGCGAAGCAGAGCGCCTGAAAACCCGGTCCGAAGCGGCTCTTTCCGGGACACTTGAGGCGGTGTGAGCCGGGGGGTTGGGGCTGATTTCACACACACACTAGCTCCGGCTATTATTCAAAAACATAAAATGAAGGCGTCTGTGGGCTCTGCAGTGTAGTTTCCTTGTTGTGTTGCTTTAATGTCAGTTCCCCTCCCCTTTCTTTTCTCCCTCTCTCCCCGTCCTTGTCACTCTCCCAGTCTTCTCCTGTCCCGACGCCGGGCGCTTTGTCATTGTTTACTTCCCGTCTTCATTACAGATAAACAACAACAACAACAGCCGCTTTGACAGCGGAGTCCAGCGGAGCTGAAATACTGCGCSTCATGAAGTTGAAACGCTGAAAGATTTAACGATAAATCAGCGTTTCCTCCGGAAAACACACACAAAAATCAAGTGTCGCCTCGTGCACGTGAAGCAACCGCTGTTTGTCTTTGACGCGGATTAAAAAGTGCCTCCATTAGATTGTGAGGCATCTCCGTGTTAGAAACACGACACAGCAGATACATAACGTGACTGGTGTGGGTTTAAAAYACGACTTTGAGCCGGGCTGCACCGAGATACTCTGATGTTTTCCACACCACACCGAGATATGGCTTCTTTAACTCCGAAAAGAAGAACATTTACCGGGAAGTGGCCTCTGGAGGGCAGCAAACASCAAGCAGAGTGACGTCACCGACCAACACTACTCATTAGCCCCACCTGCTGGTAAAACTACGGAAAATGATTTGGTCCACACTTTGTTTGACTTCGTTTCACTACAATGTGCATGCAAGATTACATGAAGATTTGATGACGCTGTTCGTTTTAGTATGATAAAAGTTATTTCAGACAGGAAGAACATGTGCTATCTAACATGTGTCTTTTTTATTATTTTATCTTGGAC